AGGAAAATTACATCCTCATCCCTCTTCAAAACCATTCTGTCTAGTCCCAGCCTCATTGTCTCCAACTCTCTCTGGCTATATTTTGTTACCTTTCCTCTTTACAGTAATTCCTGATGCTCTTTGTAATCTGTTTCCTTAAAATTTGCTCTGCTACTGCAACCACATTTTGATGTGCAAGGGCAAAGCAAATTACTCAATTTTGCCTATGCTTCCATGTCTGTTATTGCATCAGAAGGACCTGATCTTTCCTAGGATACATTTACAAACTCTGCATAAGTAATAAACCCCAATAATTGCAGTTGCTTTGTGATCTTGAGTGAATTGCCTTGACTAGAAGTCAGGGAGGTTACTTCATCAGAATATATTACAGTCAATCTCACTGAGTGGATGTTAATATTTTGAGGATCTCTGCTGAAACTTGCTGTTATAGTTAGGTATCTTGTAAGTTATCTTACAGCTGAGACTGCCAACTCTGTTTTTACTCAAGTAAGTGATAGAAAGTCTTGGCCCAGCACAGTGCTTAGAAAAGTTTGGGTATGTCAAATGAATGAGACCCGTTACAGCTGCTCAACCTACTGCTTATGGTCTAGTAATTTCAATGCAGCGAAAATAACCACAGCCAAGGATCATTTGGGAAGGCATTGGCAAAACTTGATGGAAAGAGTGGAACAAAATACACAATTGCCATCTGCACCTACCTGAGACAGACCTCTAGGGTAAGAAAGGTAGGAATGTAAAAATGAGAGTAACAACTCTGCCCAGAGGCTGCTGTCAGCTCCAAATCCACTTAGGGCTATTGCAAAGGCTGGGTAGAATAAGCATTAAACTGACATCTTGGCTAGGGGCACCAGGATGTCTTGCTACAGCTTTGTTAAAATTGGTACTGACCAGCACATCACATTTAATTTGACCTAGCTCGTAACTGACAAGATCTGTTAGAATCAAATGATGAATTTTAGTTTCAGGAGGTCACGCTATACCTTCTTTTCTTGGATTGGGTAAATCTTCTCTCTGAAGAAGTTGTGTTGTAATCAGCAGGCATTATTCAGATGAGGGGCTATTCAAAAATGTGCGTCTGGTGGAGACAGCGGCTGTTTGCAGGTATTATGTTGCTATATTAGCCCTGAAAATCAACAGTATCCAGCTGGCTTCTCCACCACTCCATTTTGCCTACCACAGGCAGGGCCATCTGCTTCTTCCTATTTCTTACCAGAGTGCTTTGGGCTGGGACCTAGGCACATATATCTTGTATGTGCCGTACTGCTGCAACATGAAGAGTTTGTGGGACTGGAACTACATCTTTTTCTTTTTACTTTAGGCAACAGGGGCCGAATAGCTGCACTCAATAGACTGTGTACTACATCATTTTCTGTCTTTATCTCCCTTATAGTTTTTGTTCCTGCATTTACCAGTTTAATGGTTTTATTAGGCAGGACCATCAGAAGGTGCTTGAGAGCACATTGATAAACAAAGCAAGCAAAATAAAAACCTAGTTAAAAATTGCCCTTTGTTTGACAGTACAAACAGCAGAGATCTGGATGAGTGTTAAGGGCAATCCCTAATACATCATTCATATGCTGCTTTCAGGGCTGGGGGAATGTTGACAAAGGAAAAAATTAAATTGCAGTTTGTAAAAGTCATAGGTGATACCATGGTAGCACTGCGATAATTTTTAATTATATTAATGATATTAAAGTAATAGGCATTGATACCTAATCAGTACTCAGAGCAGGTATTAGTCACCTGGCCCAGTTCTGATCTCTTTGTGTGGGTTCTTCTGAGTGGTTTCTCTCCTGCTGCTGCTGCTTGAACAGCACCGCAAAATGCTGGGACAGGACTTTGGGGCAAGTTAAGATGAAATGATCTGTGGGCCAGGTGAGATGTTGTGTAGAGGGTCTCATTACTCAGGGACCTAGAAGATGTTGAGGATGCTGGCAATACTTCATGCTGCAGACCACACTGTGGGAGAGAGTACTCCAAGGATGGGTTCTTCAATGCCCCACCTGCATCCACCTTCATGGAAAGAAAAAAAGATTGAATATATTACAGCGCTTGATGGTGTCTTGCATAAAAAGTATTGGGATTCTGAAGGATTCAGGTGATTTTGCACATCGTTAACTCGCACTACTTGCTGCTTGTTAAAAAGAGGGAGACAAATACAATAGAATGAATAAGGGGCAAGAGCCTTAAGAAAGGATCTTAAGAAAGTAATGGCCAAAAAAAATCTTAAATGCATCTCTTGAGAGCTTAATGGGGTTACAAGGATCTGGAAAATTGCCCTTTTTTGCCTGTTTAATGATTGTTGGCCTACTGGTCTGTGCAGCTTAGCCTATATTTGAAGTCTTCTGCAGAGCGTTTCTACTGTGTTTGAAGGAAGTGTAATGGGTCAGGTGTTGTACCTGATATTGTTGAGTTAAGTGTTTGCAGAATGCCTGAATGAAAGCTGTTTTCCCTAAATGTTGAAAGAGGTGAGAAACAGCAGGTGGGCTACTTGTTCAGACTACGCAGCTCCAGGAAGCTGTGTGGTCCAGAAGCTAGTTGGTTCTTTTCTGGATAAGCATCATAGCTATCTACCCCTAGGCTTTCTGCCTTCAAGTGACTCAACCTGAAATCCAGTCCAGTGATTCCTGTTTGTGACTGCAGAAAGTCCTCAATCCTTGGGCCTGAGAGCTAAGCAGTGTGGGCTACTGCTCTGAGCTATAGTCACTGCTGTGTGACCACCATCCACATGGGAGTACCCATTTTATTGAATTTGCAGGACTGAGTGCTTGGCCCACCTCATATCTCTAACAAACCAGCACAGGAGTGACTCTCTATCTGGGACCCTCTTTGTATTAACCATTAAGGTATAACAGTATGCTTGTATTTGATCAGCATAGTTATATTAAATTATCACTCACACGACAGAGACTCTGTCCAAGGCTCTCTTGAACACCAGATCTCCAAATCTGGAGAAATATCTTTGGTGGCAAAACTGGGTTAAAGAAAGCCCAAATACTTCCAAGTGGGCATGTTTCTTCACTTGTGGCTGCAGGTCACTGCTCCCTGTGCATGTGTTTGTAGGCCTGTGAGAAGAGGCATATTAAAATCCTTCCCCATCCTTAAAGAAAAAACTATTTGTTAATCCTGGTGAGTTTGGCAAACTGTTTTATAGTCCTGCCTTTCAATTAGTTGTGCTACCACAGCTGTGGAAGTGACAAACTGAGGCATAAAAGCAGAAATCAGCACAATGATGGGAGTTCTAGGGGATGACTTCATAGGATAATTCCTCAGGCCAGTTTATTGTAAAGATCATTACCTTAATGAAATGACCTGAGACAAGACAGAAACCTTGACTTCAGGGAGAGCTGCTAATGTCACTGGCAGTAGGAATTCTTCAGAAGCTGTGATTCTGTCCAGAGGTAAAGCCAAGGATGTAACTGTGTTCTACATCCTCACTTAAGCCCCAGTGACATCCTGCTCCTGCATTGTGTTCTACTGAGCTGAGTCTTGCATTGTTGATAATTGCAAGCACTCCTTTGTGGCTTTTATTTTCATCCACGCTCTTCTGTGATAGCTTTTTTCCAAGGCACATGATAAGAGGTTGTCAGGTAAAATTAATTTTTACTTTCAGGACATCATTAAGTAGTGCTTTTCTCATTGGAACATTCACTATCAGCAGGATAAAGGGTACCATAAAGAGTTAAGAAGAGTAATTGTTGGTTCATCAGATTATGTATTAGTTCAACCAGGCTAATGCACTGTAATATCTAGACAAGCCCTGTAACTGGAGATAGTTTGAAACAAGCTTTTAGCTATTCATATGCTCCAGCTGTTAATTTCACATCTAAGCCATTAAGAAAAACAAAACAAAACAAAACAACCAATCAATAAAAAATAGGCCATTTTTCATTAAAGACATCTTGAAAATCAGGTTGTTTATAGAGACAGGGGTGCATGTGTTCTTTTTCAAAAGCTTGGGACTAATTTTTTCTCATTTTGCAGACTGCATGCTGAGTTTGAGCAGTCGAAGTCAGTGATATCTCTTGCACTACCATCTTTTTAGGGCACGTGCAAATCATTTGAACAATAGTCTGAACTACCTGCATTGCAGTCTATTCTGTATGTAGCCAACACAGAGAAGGATTTAATTTGGAGGGTTGTAATACGGGCCAATGCTTTCTGAGTTATGTTATGAAGGAAAATAGGGCTTTGAAAACAATTCTTTGTTGAATTCTTCCTTGCCTCTGACCAGCACAGTTGAAATGCTCAGATGGCATAGAAAGAGAATTGAGAGGGTGGATCAAGACTCTGCCAACTTCATAGTTCTCTCTCATTGTTTAGCCCCTATCTGTGTATAAAAGGGGAGTGAAGTGGCAGAGATCCTGCTTTCCTCCTTCTCCTGCTGTTCTTTAGGATGATTCATACCGTATGAGCTACTAAAACCAGAGAAAGATTTTACAGTTAATCATGCAGAGAAACACTTAGCCTTCTTTGCTAATGGGATCTTTCTAGGAAAATATGAACATGAATGAACAAACTAGCATGACACAAGTAATGTGCTGGCTCTGATCTCTCACACTGGTTTTATGTATTAAGGAAAATGAGTGTAACATATCTACTTAGTTGTGAGAGGGATTAATTTCTGATTATCATTTTCTGTTCTGAGGTACAGCAATAGGGTGTTTCTGAAACTTGTATGGATTTGTTAATCTAAATGTCCAATAAATTTTAATCTGCTAATTTTCTGGTTTTACACCTTGTACTGCTTCCTCCACTTGACAGTGCTTCAAAATGTGCTAACTACTTCTGGTATAAGCAGCACAGTGTGTATATGTGCATACACAGTATGACTACTTTGCCAGCTCTTCAGAGGTTAGCCGCCTTTAATCATTTTGTCATTAAATGTCTCTACAGATAAAATATTGCATTTGTCCATGTTCACTGATGCAGAACCATTTTTAAATCAGTCTAATTTAAATGGTTTTACACTCTTCATTTTTGTCTTCATGTTCCTTCAGGCTTCAGACTTGATTATCACCCCAGCTACGACTTTCAAGGAAAAACCAGACCCCAGTGGTTTGGTATTTGGAACTGTGTTCACTGATAATATGCTGACAATTGAGTGGTCCTTGGCTTCAGGATGGGAGAAACCTTATATTAAGCCGCTTGAGAACCTTTCATTGCATCCAGCATCCTCGTCTCTGCATTATGCTGTAGAAGTGAGTACTGAATCAATTTGGAAACTGCTATTTTGTTTCATTAGGTCTTGAAGCCATAACTTTGTAATACAAGGACTATTGCTGTCTTAAATTTATTGGTATTGAGTTACATTTTATTCTGTTAAGTTATCTCCTTCCAGAATAATTCCATTATTTACAACAGGGTTATGTTTATGTTAGTATAACTCAGAATCAACCTCTGGCCTGTGGATTCCAGCTCCTTAACTTTCTAGCCTAGTGAGGTGAGTCCTTTCTTGTGTGGTGACAAATTCATTTGAGAAAGCATTCTAGTTCACTGATGATGGATTGGCCCAATTACTGTCTCTGATGTAGCTTAATGAAGCACTGGAGAAGACTGTGTGAGATTGCAAGAGCAAGTGTTAATCTGGGGACTGAACATGCACTTTGTGAATGTTATTTTAACCTGTTTCAGGTGTTCATAGCTTGGATTGTAGGACAGACTAGACAGATGCTTGTGTGCAACTCTGAACAAGCTGGATAGCTCCAAACTAGATCTGATGCATTCAGCATATACAAGTGTATTTGAGCAGAGAATACATAGCAAGGGACTTTGGAAAGTGAAATGTTAAGTCGGAAACCAGCGTGGTTAACAGTTTCCGTGCTTAGCTGCTTGCTGCCTTAAAGCTGCCTTTTGTGTCTCCAGAGCAGCTTTGGCTATACTCACATCTGTGAGGGCACATATGCTGAAACAAAATCCTGCTTCTCCTCCCACTTTAGGGTATGTGGGAGTGTCTCCACTGAAGTTAGTGGAGTTGCTTGTGGTTCTTTTGTTATTTATTTTATTTTTCCTTTATTTTCTTTTTCTTTTTTTCTAACAACTGGTATAAGGGAAGGATCAAGCTTTTCCCTGCTTGTTGTCCCTGAGCTTCTGCCTTCACAACTTTGTTTTTGCTGTTTTGACCCCATCTAGTCACCAAGCCTCCAAAAGTCCTGTGTAAATTACAACAGGCCCCTGTGACAGAGGGTCTAGCTCTTGATCTGCCCAAGAAGTAAGAAACCACGCTGGAGTCCCAAATCTATATTTCACTCTTAATAGCATATTGCTTTAATACTTGGCCTCTGGCACAGTCTGAAATCATTGCTAATATGAATATGCTCTTTTTTTTTTTTCCCCCATTTTTTTTTATTCTTTTACCCTTATTGCATTACGTTTCCTCTAGCCAAGAGGACAGACAGAGGAGAATCTGGTGCCAATGCTGTGGCTCAATGAATACACAGTGGGTATAATAAAAATGATGGATTTGGCATTCCTTCCCCTTTCTCCTTGCCCTCCATGATGCAGTGTCATAGTCTGGATCTGCTGAACTCCAGATCCAGTTCCTGTGATGTACAGATGTCAGATAATATTGTTTGCACACCACTGTAGCAACCAACCATCAAGCAACCACAGAAGTTGCTTTTATTCAAGTTGAGCATTTCTGGAACACATCACTGTCTCCCTTTTTAATGAGTGAAAGGTTTTACTGAGCTCTGGAAGGTTAAAAATATTTCTTTTTGGAGAAAAAGATCTATTCGTTTGAGAGGGCTTTGTGTTTCAGTAATGATGTGATTCTTCTCTCAAACTATTAATCAAACCATAGTAGTAACATTCCTTCCTTTTCCCTCTCATTAAAAGTTCTGTGAATGTGTCTGGGAGACAGGTGGGGGGAAACAACTGTTCTGTGATAAGTAAGTAACATTCCAGAAATGCAGTATTAGTTAGTAACTGTCCCAATAAAAATCATACCAAAGTATCAACCATATCACCAGCTATGCCATCCTTTATTAAAGACAGAATTTTTAGGTACATTACAAAGACAGAATTAGGTACGATGTCTATCCTAGGAACAGTTCCCTTTTCAAACCTCTGTACAAAGTTTTTAATAAGGTTGGCATTGCCATAAGAATAAGATAAATTTTGACGGCAAAAATTTCTGGATTCTAATTCTAGTTCTGCTACATAATTGGCATGTAGCCTAAGAAAAATTTCTGGGATTCCTGAACCTAGTTGCAACCCAATTAAAATTTGTCATGTGGAAGGACCTAGCTCTGTCACAGGACTGCACAAAAGCTTTCTAGCATTGCATTGCACTGATCCTTATGGGAAAATGTTTTAGAATTTAATAATAATGAAACCTTAGTAGATTACTTCTACACAAATACAGGATTATTTTTGCCCAAATAAAAGGCCTGCATATGTAGTCTTCCAACTGCATAGAATGTGTTTCCAGCCATTTTTTGTGGAACAGTAAGGAGAAGTCTGAGGAGACTGACAGCAGTGATGCGGTTAAATTCATAGAACTTATACTGAAATTTAATAGACAAAGAAATGTTTTAGAAAATCAATTCTAAAAATCTGAAGTCTTGTCTATAAGCATAAGTGATCCTTTAATACTTAATCTAGATAATACCTGTATATATGTATATATTAATATGACCTTATATAATACATGTGTTTTCTGTCTGTAACTGGAAATCACCAATCTGTAACTGAAAATATTTATGGATATTTTGTGGGTATATATTTTTTGCATTGGTTAGGAGATGTTGTAGAGCATTCTGCTGGGAGGGCACTGGTGGGATAAGGGTTTCTGGTAAATCAGTTGTCAACACAGTCATACGGATTCTGCATTTTGATGGTATAGTTATGACTATTTTAAGTTTCCTGTAAAATATAGTTAAAACATTTTTATGCATTCCTCCTCTAGTGTAGGGATGATGCATCTGCCTCTCATGCCAGCTAAACCCCCTTCCACAGCTTAGGCTTATATGGGGCAAATCAATGACCAAGATTTTACTACAACTACAGGAAGAACTGCAACAGAGTTCTCTTAATTACCTTATTCTATGTTTCTTACCAAAGTGCATTTTGGACAGAGCCCTAACAATTATTAACATATATAATTAAATTCTATAGATATTTTCTGTAAGGGAAAGTTTTGGCTCAGACTTAGGTACCAGTCAGGATGTGAGGGAATAGTTGAGTCAAACACATGCTACAAATTTTAATTGCTGTAACTAAATTATGAGAAAAATATCTAACATTAAGTCCCCTGACAGAGAAAGATAGATCTGAAGCATAATCAGGTTGTCTTTGTGATATAAACTTCATAGTACTACCTCACACAGGAGTGTGTTGCAAGGATTAGCTAGTTAGCATTTATGCTTTGAGTACTGTGAGCAGGAAAGTGCAGTTCTTTTATTTCCAAAGGGAATGTTCTGCCTTTGTACAGATCGTCATGGGATAACATGTCTCAATTATTATTTGATTTCTTTTCCCTCCTTTTTGACTTGGTAGTTGTTTGAAGGAATGAAGGCTTATCGAGGAGTGGATGGCAAAATCCGCCTTTTCCGACCAACCCTCAACATGGACAGGATGGTGCGATCAGCAAAACGAGCAGCCCTGCCAGTATGTAGCCAAGGCATCTTATTATCCTTAAGTCAGAACATATTTTTATTTCAGAGTGCAAATTTCTGAACCTTTACAGTAATGTAACATTTTTCAAGCACTAACTCTTGAACAGTTCAGTTAAACTTTGTTAATAGATCTTATTCAGTGAAGGGAACAGCTTCAAATGCATTTTTCTTTTAAATCACAACAGTGTTTTGCTTTCTTTGTTGTCTTCCTACTGCCTCAGATGTATACAGTCTATTTCTAAGGGGATGATCACTATTCTGCATATTTGCATGCAGACAGCTGATGAAATTGTTCTGGCACTAAAGTTCTTCCTTCTTTCCACTTCAGTTAAGTCCTTCAGCCTCTGAATGACATAATATTTTTGTCATGCTAGCAATGTAACACTGCTTTTAGTGGTTGTATATTGACCAGTGAATTTCCTCCGGTGCTTATTAGCTTTACTACTGTAAGAACTTTGCAACTTCGTAAAACTGGGAGACTTAGTGGGCCTCTTGGAGTTATAATCCAAAGCCCTCTTCCGCAGAAAAGGTGTTGCCATAGCTTGCAGCATGCCAAAGTGAAGGTGTTGGCTGCACAGGGAGTTCTCTCTCCATGTGTTTTGAAGACAAGAAGGGTCAATGGCTCCTTTTTGCTATTTCAGGAGGGTACTTTTTAGCAGGAGCGCATTCAGGGTACTGTGTAAAAAGGCACAGTGTCAAAGACCACGGGATCTTAAAATTCTGTAAGAAATTAACTCAAAGAAGGTGATGTAGTCCTATAAACCTCTATGGACTGTCGTTAGATATTCTGATGAAGTGTGCCTCTTAGCATATGGATCTATAAAGACCTCTCCTTTTTTTACTTTCTTTCTTTCTTTCTTTCTCCCCCCCCCCCCCCC